AATCACTAAGCGCTACTCGCTTAGTTGGTGTTAAACCTCTTGATCAGCGTAAAAATCTAAAACGATGTAGCCTCGTCCGTCTGTTGTAATCACGAATTAAGATAGGAAGCTAAATTTTTGCACAGATCAGTCTTTTGTCTACAGGCAGGTCAAGTTCGTAGATGGGCTACATCGGTCCACGATATCGTATGGTACCCATATAAGGGTACTCCCCCGATATTCGATATTTTGATGACTTTATGCGCATTTTTCAATGGAATTGTCTTAAATTCCACACAAGGAGTTGTTTATAGGTACTTTACCTCCTGTAAGAGAACTGTATACATAGGTCTCCGATATTTTATATCTCCCACATAACTGTACCCCCCGATATTCGGTATTTTGATGATTGTAGCTAAATTTTTCAATGGAATTATCTGAAAATCCTCACAAGGAGTTCCTTGTGGGAAGTTTGCTCCCAGGAAGAAAATTGCCTATATAGGTCCACGATATCGTATGATTCCCATTTTTGACCGGAATTGCTTCAAATTTCGTGTTTAAAGTTTGAAGCAACTATACCAGAAAATTGTCTACGCAGGTCCACGTCTTCGTATAGCCCATATATAACACTACCTTCCTTTATCCGATATTTTGATGATATTAGCAACATTATTCACCGGAATTATTTTAAATTGTATTTGAGATTCGGAATCGATACTACATCCTATGACAAAAAAATACTTATCCAGGTCCGCGTCTTCGTATATCCCCTATATAACGATTTTCATTTAAGTGTTATTTTTCGACGGATTTTTTTTTTTTTTTTTTGAAATTACTCAAGATCCTTCAAAATGGTTGAGGGTATTACATTTTCGGCCCGGCCGAACTTAGCTTATATTTTACTTGTTTTTTTTAATAAATTCAATCCTCTCGACAAGCGACAACATAAGCCAAATTCCTGATAATTCTCAAATCGTCAACATCCCAAACGCTAGAGTCACACGAATATCAATATCGTAATCATTGATCTCCCACACCAATCAACATTTGGCGACCACGTACACGTTCCCGATTACCTTCAAATCGTCATCATCTCGAACACGAGCATAACGACCAGAAGGTGGTCAGGGTATTATGTCTTTGTGCATTTGTTTGTAACAGGCAAAAGGAAACGAGATAGACCTATAGTTCCCTTTGATGATCTGCATAGCATCACATTCTGAGTCGATTTATGCATGTCCATCTGTCCGTCCGTCTGTCCATGTATTTTTGTAAGCAAAGTACAGTTCGCATTTATTGCCCTATCCAGATGAAATTTTGCACAAATCATTTGTTTGGCCCAAAGACGAACCCTATTGAAATTGGAGATAATCGGTAAAAATTTAGATATAGCTCCCATATATATCTTCGTCCGATTTGCCTTTTATTGTGCACCAAACGTGTAATATCAGCCCGAATAGTATGAAATTTTGCACATGCAACCAAATTAGGCCTGAAAATAAGTATGCCAAATTTGATCGAAATCGCTTCAGATGTAGCTATAGCTCCCATATATATAGTTCATCCGATTTGTTATTTTTGTCCTCCGCAGCCGTAATATGCACTCTGCAACAACAATATTTGGGAAATATATCAAATACAGCTCATAAATACATTTGCTAATTTTTATCGAGATCGGTTCAGATTTGGATATAGCTCCCATATATAACTTCGTCCGATTTACCTTTGATTGTGCACCAAACGTCTAATATTTGCCCAAATGGGTTTCAAAAGTGTTATTTTTCGCTGTAAAGTTTCAAAACGCCGATACACGTGCCTTCTCTTTTTCAAGCTCTACTTTCATAAACTGCTGGAGTTTCCTTGTTGCTATTGGACAGTGTTATTAAAATAATTGTCTCTCTGCAATGTCTTTAATACTTCCCAAATTGTACATCTTTACAGATTTTCTTTTCAAATTAATTCTATGGAAATTTTTCGACAAAATTCTTGCAGCATTGCTGCCGGCCTTATGTGATGCACAATTACCAAAATGTTTCTGATTTGTCCACATTGCTGCTGGGCTACTAATCATTTCGAGATTCCTTTTAATTTCCGGACATGCAATATTTGAGCAGTGACAGTTGTGTGGTTGAGATGTGTGTGTGTGTTGGTGGTGGTGGTAGTTGTGTGTGTGTGTCTGCGTTGTTGGGGTAACAATTATTTACATTTACTGCATTTGCATACTGGTTGGCAATAATGAATGCATTTCCATAGTCAAAGAATGCAATGTAGTGAGGGTATGTGGAAGAAGAGAAAAAACGATGACAATGGAGTCCAGTTACTGAAATGGACATTAGAATTTTAATGATTTCTGTTTCTCATGGAAAGAGTATGAGAAGCCGGAGGAATTTTGTTTAAAATTTATATTCACATTTATATGTTAATACCAATGAAATTTCGGATTGATTGATGTTTAAAAAAAATTGAGCAGAACAGATTTACCTCTCTGAACCTCTTCCGTAAAATTTTGAGTAATTTAAGAGTAATTGGTCTATCTCATAAAGGAGAAAACCAATAATGGCCACTTGTTGTAATTCTTTTTTTTTTTTGTTGTTATTATTTTTTTATACCCTCCACCATACATAGTATGGAGGGTAAATTAAGATCATCATTCCATTTGTAATTCATCGAAATAATAATTTTAGAACCAACAAAGTTTATATAATCTTGACCAGCGTAAAATTCTAAGACGATTTAGCCCCGTCCGTTCGTCCGTCTGTTGTAATCACGCTACAGTCAAACGAATAATGATACGAAGCTTAAATTTCGCAAAGATCTGTCTTTTGTCTGCAGGCAGGTCAAGTTCGAAGATGGTCCACGATATGGTCCTATATAACGGTACCCCCGATTTTCGATATTTTGATTATTTTAGCCAGATTTTTCAGTGGAATTGTCTGAAATTCTTGTGAGTACCTTACCCACTGAAGAGGAATTGTTTATATAGGTCCGCGATATCATATAGCCCACACATAAAGGTACCCCCCGATATTTGATATTTTGATGATATTAGCCACATTTTTTAATGGAATTGTCTGAAATTCTACACAAGGAGTTCCTACTGAGTTCTTTACCCCCTGAAAGAGAATTGTCTTGAAGAGAAGTTTCTATATAGATCCACAATATCGTATAGCCCCCGTACAATACTGTCCCCCGATATTCGGTATTTTGATGATTTTTCAATAGAATACATTTTTCAATAGAATAATCTGAAAATCCACACAAGGAGTTCTCTGTGAGTACTTAACCTCCTGAAAGATAATTTTCTACATAGATCTACGATATCGTATAGCCCCCATACAAATAGGCACCCCCCCCCCCCCAAATTTTGGGTATTTTGATATTATTAGCCACATTTTTCAATGGAATTGTGTGAAATTCTACACAAGGAGCTCCTTCTAGGAACTTTACCCCCTGAAAGAGAATTGTCTTTATAGGTCCACGATATCACATAACGGTACCCTCGATATTCGGTATTTTGATGATTTTAGCCACATTTCTCAATGAAATTGTCTGAAATTCTACACAAGGAGTTCTCTGGGAGTACTTTACCTCCTGATAGAGAATTTTCTACAAAGATCTACGATATCGTATAGCCCACCGTACAATAGTGCCACCCGATATTAGGTATTTTGATGATTTTAGACACATTTTTCAACGGAATTGTCTGAAAATCTACACAAGGAGTTCCTTGCGAGTACTTTACCCCCTAAAAGAGAATTATCTTTATAGGTCCACGATAGCGTATATCTCCCATATAACTGTACCTTCCGACACTCGGTGTTTAAATGATTTTAGACACATTTTTCAATGGCATTGTCTGAGTTCTCTGGAAGTACTTTACACCCTCAAAAGAGAATTGTCTACATATATCCACGATATCGTATCGCCCCCCTTACAATAGTGCCCCCCTCCCCCCCTATATTCGGTATTTTGGCGTAGGATACTACAACCTATGACGGAAAATTGTCTACGCAGGTCCACGTCTTTGTATAGCCCCCATACAACGGTACCTCCTTTTATTCGGTATTTTGATGATATTAACGACATTATTTACCGGAATTATTTCGAATTTCGAATTTTAAGTTCAGAATCGTTACTACAGCTCATAAAAAAAAAAAAAATATTTATCCAGCACCACGTCTACGTATAGCCCCCATATAAAGGTTTTGATTTGAGCGATATTTTTTCAATGGATTTTTTTTGGAAATTTTTTAACTTTCTTCCGAATGGTGGAGGGTATCAAAAGTTCGGCCGGGCCGAATTTTATTATTATTTATTATTATTTTTATTATATTTATTATTATTATTATTATTATTATTATTATTATTATTATTATTATTATTATTATTATTATTATTATTATTTTATTATTATTATTATTATTATTATTATTATTATTATTATTATTATTATTATTATTATTATTATTATTATTATTATTATTATTATTATTATTATTACTATTATTATTATCATCATTATTATTACCATCATTATTATTGGCATGCCAATTAAAAGTTCTCTGCAAAGTGCACTTCTCCAATTCTGCTTTTTTTAAACTTCCTGCCGACCTTCAAAAGGATTTACTTCCGCCGCCACTCACTCACTTTGTTATTTATGATACGGATATTGTTGTGTCATTTGACTTACTTAATACTAAATTGATTTTATTATCTCTTTCTCTCTCTTTCTTTTTTAATTTTCATGTTCATTACCATTTATTGTGCCTGATTCAATGTGGATTCCTGGTCTTCGTCGTCGCCATCTTCGTCTTGGACATAACCTCATTATCGCAATCATCATCATCATCGTCGTCATCAACGACACCAATGCCGATATTGAACAATAACAACAACAACAACATAATGACATTGGCACAATCAAAATGTTATTCCATCCATGCCACCATTATCCGCTGTCATTGTGAACGAACGTACGGACCTTCGTGGACACATTTGAATTTTTTTTGCATGGAAAATAGCGCGTGGCTTTGGTATGCGTGTGGTGGGCGGCAAGACTGGAGCAGATGGCCGACTATTTGCCTATATTGTGTGGACAGTACCCGGAGGACCAGCTGAGAAGAATGGTCTACAGCAGGGCGATAAGGTAATTGAGTTACAATGATTTTTTACACAATGCCCGGGCAAATGCAATTTCGAATGTTTACTCACTTTGTTACTTGTCATCGTCATCATCGCCATCGTCGTGAGGACATTTTACTCAGTTATTGTAAAGGCTTTTCAGGAAGTTTTGAAGTACCTATGTAAAGGTGTACATATTTATTATAGGATACTCAAAGATGAAAGAGAATTATTGTAAAAATCGTTTTAAATTTCAATATAGCTCTCAAAAAGTTCAAGTTTACTGTCATAATAATTTACATGCGTATTACATTTATCCACATCCTTAAGAAGAAGCAACAAAAGACAGATGGGCGGACTTTGGTTACATAAATTTGGAATTGATTATTTAAAGAATTAATAGAAAATAAAAAGAAAATACAAAAACGAAAAAGATCTGCTAATAGAACTTGAGTCGAACTTGGAGTGTTTCTAAAGTGTTTGGAGTGTTAATAAAGTTTGTCATTCCCTTTGTAACACCTCTAAATATAAATTTTAGACCCCACAAAGTCCGTTCGTCCATGGAAATCACACTAGCCCCGAACGAAGTGAATTATGTTGGTCAAAATTTACTCCGATGTATTTTACGTATTCTTTTGGCATTGAAAATGGGGCTAAAACCGCAAGACTCTTGGTATTGGAAATGGGCCATGTAAGTTCACGATTTGGTATAGCCTGTACCTGTAGATTTAAGGTGTTTTGGGTTTTTTAGTCACTATTTTAAACTGAATTTGCTGTATATTGGCACTTTGTATTCGCAGTATGTACGCAACATCCTCACATAGAATTGCCTATATAGGTCCAAGTTTTGGTATAGTCCCCATTTGTTCGTCCCAATATTCGGAATTTCGATTTGTGTCACGAAATTGTTGCAAATTTAGTATTTGAAGTTCGTAATGGAAACTACCTACCATGACAGAAAATTGCTCACATAGGTCCACATCTTCGTATAGCCGCCATATAACGATACCTCACAATGTTCAATATTTTAATGATTTTAGTTTTGTCTTTCAACAGAATTTTCTTATAATTGGTGTTTCGAGTTCGTTATAGACACCACCACCTCTGACAGATAATTGTCTATAGAGGTCCACCTTTTCCTAATGCCTCATATAACTGCAACACCAGGTATTAGGAACAAAATCATAGCGACATCTTTAAAATGATTTTTATTACTTTTTGCAAGTTCCTTCCAAATGGTGGAGGGTATTATAAGTACGGCCCGGCCGAACTTAGCTCTTTGAATTAGATTTTTGAAAAAAAAAATCTTTAAGAATCAAAGATAGCAAGATCTTGGAAAAAATAACAATTTTTTTTAAATTTTCCTAAAAAATCCTTTTCTTTTAGGGGACCCTGGAATTTTTTTTTAATGTCAAATTTTAGGCCAGGAACAAATATTTAAGGCCGCGCCGAACTTTTTATACCTTCCACAATTTGGAAAGTAGCTCATGTAAACATATGACTGCAAATGCCAAAAAATATCCAGTATTCGGGTGTATCACACCCGTGAAGTCGCACTTCTTCTATTAGGAACATCAAATCCAAATTTCAAACCATTCTGTAAAAAAATTGGCTACAATGATCAAAATAACGAATATCAGGGGGATAGGGTTTAGAGAAAAAACGTTATATTATATATAAATTGTTCTTTATAAGCAGAAGAACCCATTTCGGAATCCAAACTCATATAACTGAACCCCCGTTATTCGGTATTTTGATGATTTTAGCCACATTTTTTAATGGAATCGTCTGAAATTCTACACAAGGAATTCCTTGTGAGTATTTTGCCCCCTGGAAGAGAATTGTCTATACAGGTCCACGATATTGTATAGCCCCTATAACGGTACCTCCCGACTAAATGGAATTATCTTAAAATCCACAAAAAAATTTACTTGTTACTACACTATCCCTGGAAGAGAACTGTCTATACAAGTCCACGTTTTAGTATAGCGGTACCCCTAGATATTCAGCATTCCCACGAATTTAGCGACATTATTTAGCGGAATTGTTCTAAATTTCGTATTTGAAGTTCGTAATGGGTACTAAAACCTATAACGAAAAATTGTCTATACAGGTGCACGTCTTTGTATAGTCCCCAAAAAACGGTACCTCCCTTTATTCGGTATTTCGATGATATTAACGACAACATTTTTTTATTAAATTTCGTATTTTTAGTTCGGAATTGTTATTACAGCCTATGACAAGAAAATACTTATGCAGCATCACGTCGGTATTTTTTAACGATTTTTTTTTTTTTTTTTTTTTTTTTTTTTGGAAATTGTTCAAGTTTCTTCCGTATAATGGAGGGTATAAAAAGTTCGGCCCGGCTGAACTAAGCTGTTTTTTAATTGTTTTTATACCGTACAAAACTATGTGTTGGGGGTATTATAAGTTTGATTGGGCCAAAAATTATGTAACACCTTGAAATATTGGTGTCGATCTAGTTATGTATGTCCGTTCGTCAGTCCATTTTAATTGTTAATCAAGATACAGGTCGCATTTATGGCCCGATCCCCACAAAATTGAAAATGATGGTGTGGTTAGATTCGAATTAGAAGCCTATTGTTTTTGGAGATAATCGCAAAATAGACCATAGACCCTAACTTTTATGTAAGAAAATACGACAATTTTCAATTGACCGCGAATATCCTTAATCCGGGAAAAACCAGAAACACACGAAGAGGCCAATTCTTGTCCACAATCTTGGCGCTGATATCCAAAATATCGGATAAATGGCAAATTAGGTACAATATATGTGTAAAAGGAATTGATCTTAGTTATTTCGCTTATAAGTCAAAAACAGCCCGATCCTCACGAAATTTTGCACAAGGGTAGGGTTAGGGTCAAAACTGAAGCCTATTGTTTTAAAATATGTACATTAAAGGTTCAAATGGACCAAAAAATTCAATTTTCCTAACAGGTCACAATTTGAAACCCATCCATAGTTAAGGGCATGGCAGAGGTCCAGCATATTGGATAACCATTGATTTTTATTTAGCGGTAAATTGGACTACATATTTTGTGTGGAATTTTTTCGAATCTCACGACAGAGAACGTATATATGGGGAAAGTTCTCCCGGTCAAAAATCAAACATAACATTTCTGCGGAGCTGCAAAAAAAAATCTGACCAAATGGATTTAGACCTATAAGGACTGTAATCGGATGGTGGCAACCATGGATATCCTACAACACTAGAATTCACAGTAGTGTTCCTGTGGACTGAAATAAACGAATCCCTCAAGATATTGGTATACATAACAGGACTTCTGAAAATATCATCATTAAAAATATCAGGTTTGGTGCCTAAGCGGTTACAAATAATTGTATAAGGGTTATACTTGTCATTATTTCATTACACCTTCCCAACATGGCCAGAGCCAAGTGTCGAGCTGAGGGCAATCTGAAATAACTAGTGTAAATATAGATTCATGTTTATATTTTGAAATATCTCCGATTTCAGAGTATATAAGTCTATGAAATCAGCATCAATATCCTTCACAGTTTAATGCCAGTTTAATATACCATTTTACCTGATGTATATTATCCTATGACCATCCATAATGGTAGGCTTCTGGCATATCCTAAACTGTAACCTCACCCAAATTACGCTTCGATCCATATAGGCTTTTGTTCTGATCCTAACTCAATGCAAAATTTCGTGAGGATTGAACAATAATAGCGACCTGTAGCGGGACTACAAATTTACATGGACAGTCGGAACATACATAGGTAAATCGACGAAGCTCAGTGAAATGTGATGATCGATAAATAACAAATTACAAATTTACAATTTTTTTATCTGCTGTTCACTTATTAAGGAGTTACCAGAAGGAGAGGACCCAATGGTCATAATTTTTTTATTGTGATAAGGAAAACAAACTAATTCTTTTTTTTTTCATTTCACAGATTTTAGAATGGAATGGTATGTCACTAATCGATCGCAGTTTCGAAGAGGTGTGCAGTATAATGGATCGGACCGGAGATATAGTGGAACTACTGGTGGAACATGCCACCGATTTTAGAATGTGTGATTTATTCGATGAAAATCTACCACCGGGCAATAGCGGCGGCAGTGAAAGAGGGCCAAGGCGCTCAGGCGATGGCCCTGTAGGTTTGGGTCTAATTGCGGGTAAGTTGTCATGACCGATATACGTTTTTTACATTATTCTGTGTATTTTTCGTAAATTTTTGTGTTTTTTGTCATAATTTTTGTGTAAATGTTGTGATTTTATGTTTGCTGGCGAAAAATATGGCGAGCATTATTTTAATGTTTTAAAAACAATATTTTTGTGATTTGTTTTTTTTTTTTCATTTTTTTCGTTTATTTTATATTTAATTTAATTTTCATTCTCAAAAAGCCAAACAACAACAAAAATACCTAAATATTTTTTCCTTTGTCTCTTTTTTCGTCTTTTTTCCTATTTTATTGACATTATTTCCTTTGCCAACCAAAAAAAAAAACAAATATTTGCCTCCTCCAAAATATGAAACAAAAAAATATCTAGACCCTGAAACTACAACTGACAAATCACCGGCTTCACCAACACGGCGGAAATTACCTAAGACTCCGGTATAAATTAGTTCCGCATTCAATCAATTTTTTATTTCTAGTCTTATCTCTACACTCACACACACTCTAACACACACATACACCCATACACACAATCACACTCTATAACAATATGTGTATTTTCATACAATAACAAAGCTAAAATGTAGACGAGAATTTATCCGGAAAATGTGAAACTAAAGAAGAATTAATCAATTTTCTACAATAAATTAAATATTCTTAAATACAAGTTGATCCTTTTGACTTCCGGTGATTGAAATTCATAAGAATTGAAATGTGAGAACTTCAAATAGACAAAAAATTAATTTGTTTTTCGTAGTAAAAAAAAAACAACAACAACAAATAGAAACAATAAGTTATTCAAACGAAGGTAGTGAAATATTTTAAAGTTTTTGTAACCAAACAAAAAAATTAAATCAAATGAAATAAAACAAAAAAAAAAGAGAATTGAAATAGAAAAACCCCTTAACAATGCAAACATTTTCTTTTCATTTCATTTGATTTGCTTTTTTAATTTTCTTTTCCAAAATTCTTGACTTGATCAACTTTCGTTTCGTAAAGCAACACTAAAATCTCCAAATGATTTTTGTTTTTCAGTTTCTAATTTTTAATAACTTTTTTTATTTTTCTCAATTTGTAAGCTTTGAATAGTCTATTCAATTTTAATAACTTTACACATTATTCTTAACAAATACAAAAAAACATATTCATATATATTTATATATTCAATTAATGTCAGTAGATCAGTTATTTGATATAAACGTAATATTTTCTTCAAACAATAATTCAGTTTTTATTTTATCGTAAAAAAACTTGTTTTTTTTTTCCTTACTGTTATATTCAGCATAGCAACGTCACATTCCAAATTACCAGTATTGGAACAAATACAAATTTTTCTGTTATAAAAAAAATATTTTAATTTTCCTTAGTAGTTATAATCTTTAATTGGATCATACCATAATTCAAACTTTATATTTATTTTATTTGGAAATAAAAATATGGCACAATGTAACGTTTCTTAAAAATATACTTAGACAATGGCAAAGGGTGACTGCGACATGTTTAGGCCTCATTTATAAAATCGTTTGGCATGTAATTTTTAATATCGAAATTCAAATGTTTAGGATACCGAAAATAATATTTTTGGCCAATATCTATAAAATATCCGCTAAAACTAAACCATTTTTTGGATGTGAAATATTCAACTCAATTTGTTTTAAGCCAAAATAGGTAGCTTCATCTTAAATGCGGTCAAAATAATTTTGAACCAATCCGGTATTTGGAAACCGGTGTTTCTGATTTTTCCGATGGAAAGTCCTTCGACCATTTTACAATACCTTAATTTTGATGGAATTCGATAATAGACAATAACTAAACCAAACTAAAATTTTAGGGTTGAATAAAGTCTATTTTTGTACATTTCTAGGGAAACAGGGAATAGGTTTAGAACAAATAAATAAAACAAAATTGGCTAAAATCCTCAAAAGACCAAGTATCTTAAGCTTAAAAATACCAAGTATCTTAAGCTTCAAAATACCAATACGTGGATCTGATGAGCAAATTTTCTTTCGTAGATGGTATCCATTACGAACTTAAGATATCAAATTTAAAACAATATGATTTAAGTATAGGGCTAATTTTTAACCTTGGCTATAAGGTTAAGGTTAATTTTTATATCGGCTATAGGAAGGCATGGGCACATACAGAAACTTTGCTGTCAGAGAACGTAGTGCCCTACATCAATTCGATTATATATTGGAAATCATCAGATATAGGAAGGAACATTTCTGTGAAGGCTATAACATACCATTTTCAATCCCATACAATTTCAGGCATAACATGCATTTGCGCTATCTGGTGGGTGAGATATATAATAAATTTTTGTCGCATCTGGTATGGTTTATTATCAAAAGTACGTATGCCAATACGCTACTTTTGAACACATAATCCATCCATCTGTGGCTTCTGCAGTTTTTCTCTTTTTGGAGCCAAATTCTCTCATTCGAAGTCGAAAAAATTTCGATCGAAATGAATTTTTATATTTTAATCGCAGGTTGATTAAATGAAAATTTCTGTAGAAACGAATTGACTGAATGTTTTCGTTTTAAAAATTTCAAATGAGCGTACAGAAATTCATATCGATCGAAATTTGTTCGATATCGAACGGACACACACATCAAAAAATAACATCATTTGTTGCGCTTGATTTCACTCTTATAGTACTCCTTACTCTTTTTCAAACATTTCGATCGCCTCTCAATTATTTCTAACAGGAGTAATTCGTGTGCGCTCACACGCGCTCTCTCCAAGAACTCCCACTCTGGAGAAAAAAAAACATAAAATCTGAGCACTGTTTTGAAATAAACTTCTTTTTTTCAATTTGTGCGGAAACTATTGCCATTGAATATTGTATCAAAAGGTTCTTAAAGGTATTAAATTTAAGTTCGTGTATTTTTTATTTCTTTTTGAAAGATACCCTTATCTGGAATATCGAATTAAAAACAAGTAAGCAAAGGCTATGGTCATGCGGGGCCGACCATGTGATACCCTACAACAATATAATATGTTGAAAGGCCCCTTTTGTCCAAATCCATTTTGGAAGATTTCGTTTTTGATATGGCGTTAACCTTAGCTTTTTGACCGAGCCATTTCCTGAATAGTTACGCACTCCGTCGTGTAAAAAATAAGTCAATGGCCATCCAAAATGCTACACTTCTTCCATGTACTTAACCCTCCTCTCATTCAAAATTCCGTGTAGATTAGTTTTTAATTGTTTCCTGTAGAGCAACTGCAAAATCAGAAATATTTTAGTTTTTTTGGTCCATTTGAACCCCTAAATGTACATCTTCAAACATAATAGGCTTTAATTCTGACCCTAATCCCATGCAAAAATTTCACGAGCTTCGCACGATAATTGCGACCTGTATAGAATACCCTCAAGTCATAGTGTTACAGGATGTAGATAATATTTAGAAAATTTACAAATCAAAATTGAAAGTCAAATTGAAAAAAATTGCATGCGATAAAAAATATGACACAAATTGAAAAAATGCAACAAAGGATATTCAGTTTTTTATTGTCATATTTTAACACGATTTTCTTACATATTATTAAGAAACTATTCCGAATTAAGAGAATTGTGAAAACCTTTCCAGCTGTTCTTTACTTTTAAAGTGAATAATTAATAATTTGGCCGGGTTTTAAATATATTCGCGGTTATGTGGAAATTTTCTTATTTTTTGACATAAAATTTATGGTTAATTTAACCCGCTTAATATTGTCCGATTGCCACCCCAATTGGAAGGCTTTTGCCCAGCCCTGAACGCTAACTCCATGCAAATCTCCTCATCGATTGGATCATAATTGTGGCATAAAGAGCAACTGTAAAATCAGGAAAATTCGAACATCTCCAAAAACAATTGGGTACTATTCTGACCCTAACCCCACCTCCATTTTAAATTTCGTGAGGATCTGGCCTCAATTGGGACCTGTTGCGTGATTACAAATTAACATGGACAGACGGACATTCATAGGTAGATCGACTCAGCTCGGAGAGGGAGAAGTATCCATTTGTAGTTTCCTATGTCGGAAACCATTATGTCGATGTGTTACATAGTTTTTGGTCCAATTAAAAAAGTTACATTAAAAATGTACTGAGATCGGATCAGATCTATATATAAATCCCACTCATATATTCCTATATTTCTCTAAATAATTTTAATTTTGGATCATAAAGTTCAGTTTTTTAAAATTTCAGCCAAATCGACTCAGATAAAGTTAAAGCCATCATATATATGATTTGGCATTTAAGCCACTAGTGCAAAAATCCATTCAATATCAAAGGTATTCTATATAAGTGTTTTCGGCTAATATATATTGTCCGTAATCTAACTTTTTTTTCAACCAGCGATAATTTTGTGAATGGTAGCATTTAGTCCATGTCTCTTTTGAAAGATATTTTGTTTTATTGACCTCCTGAACGAAACTGTGGTAACATTTCGTACGAATTTTGAAAGAGATGTATCACCGTCATCCATATACCTTAAACGATGCAGGCGGTGGTCAAGAAATACTATTGGGATTTTTTCAAAAAAATAAAAAAAATAAATAAATAAATAAATAAATAAAAACAGTTTACGTCCCTTAACGTTACGGACTCAGCTTCAGCGAATTTTGGTAAACAAAATTTTAAGAGGAGGACATTGGAACATTTGCTTTCAACACGACGGTGCTGCGTGCCACCCAGCCGAAGCTACACTCGATTTTCAAAAAAAAAAAAAAACTTTTGCGGATACTTTATATTCGGCCCGGACATTTTTTTAGCCCTTGCCGAATATTAAACACAGTTTATACGTGTTGGTACCAATTGCGTACTTCAAATACTAATTATACCCTACAACACTTTGTGTTGGGGGTATTATAAGTTTGATTGGGCCAAAAATTATGTAACACCTAGAAATATTGATTTTCCACATAGGAAAGTATATATGGATCTTCCTATCTCGCCGAGCTGAGTCGATCTAGCTATGTATGTCCTTCCGTCCGTCTGTCCATGTTAATTTGTAATCACTCTACAGGTCGCAATTATGGCCCGATCTTCACGAAATTTAGAATGGAGGTGGTGTTAAGGTCAGAATAGAACCCTACTTCTTTTGGAGATGATCGCATAATATTTAGGGGTCGAAATGGACCAAAAACTGAAAAAATCCTGATTTTGCAGTTGCTCTACAGGTTGCAATTATGGACCAATCGACGCGGAAATTAGCATGGGGCTAAATCTTCGGGCTGGGCAGAAGCCTTCCGATTTTGATGGTCATCGGGTAATATTTAGTGGGTGAAAAAGACCATAATATTTGTGATAAATAAAAGTCAAATTTCCATTATACCGCGAATATTTTTAGTCCCGGCGAAATCATAAATAGACGAACAGGTCAATTCTGACCGTTACGTAGATGCCGATAGTAAATATATCGGATATATATACAATGTGTATATACAAAGGAAAGGAATGTTAGATGGAATGCTTATATCTCAAGAATGGGTGGACCGATTTTGACAAATTTTGTCAATTCATTTATTTTTTCATATTTTTTTATCGCAATTAACGTCCGATCCTCACGAAAAGGGTATGGTTAGGCTCAGAAGGGCTAGGCCTATTGTTTTCAAAGATGTCCGCAATATATTTAGGGGTTGAAATGGACCAACAACTAAAAATGTTCCTGATTTTGCTGCCGTTATAAAGGTCATAAAGAGAGTTTAGGACAGCGTGTAGAATGGACCACTACTTTTGTCTGAAAAATACCAACATTACTTACAGGTGATAGCCGAAATACACAAAATGCGAACTTCTGAATTTTTTGCTGATTTCTTTGACGAATATAGCCAAATATCGTAGACATGAAGATCGTATAGAAGAGTCTAAATTTGGAGATACAGAGGAGCCTCTTGCTTTTGGAGATGATCGCAAAATACGACGGAGTGCGTAAATATTGGGCAAATGTCCCGGGTCAAAATGCTAAGGGTAATATCTGGGCAGTGC